TCATGATGTTGGTAAATGGTTTCGTCCATTCGCACTTCAAAATTATAGCTTGTACAATACTATCTAATTCGATAGTTTTTGCCAATCCGTAAAGGACGATAAATCTTCCGAAGAATTTTTCTCTGGAATACTTCTAAGGCTTTCTCACCACTGCTGATAATTATACAAATCTATGAAGAAATGAAGAAATCATGATGATTTAAGATTTGATAATCAGTATCACTATATCAGTATCGATTATTGCAACCTAACAGATGTAACTGATTGAAACTTTTGTGATATTATGCAGAATATTTAAGCATTATTATATTGTATATTATATGTACCTATGTATATATCAGCGTGAAGAGTATTGTAGCTTTTGAAGAGTCAAGTGTGTATATATGTTAATAGTCTTTTTTTGAGCAAAAATTGTGTGAATCAAAAATAATTTCAACATCTCATTAACACAAACACTTAAACCTAAATAGTGTACAAAGTTTACAAGATACTTAATCGTTTTGGGCACCATTAATTAAAGATTTATGTCTCGTACTTAAGCAAAGTATTTTACTTTAAAAAGCCACCATAGATTTTATTTTGCATATCTTTTCTTAAAAGCAAGTGACTTGGTTCGTACTCTTGCTCCCGAGTATAAATTATGCATACTAAAAGCTTTCTACATTATGATTTTATGCATTTTTGGTGAAGTAAATAAAATTCCCTAAACTATGCTATGTTGCCACATGTACAAAAATAACATCTTTTAAATTTTAAGACATAACGTTGGTACACAAAAAGGTGTAAAAATATACAGTATATATGTGCGCCACCACCCACCATATACACAATAACACAGCATGTTTTTTTCTGGAAGCCACAATGTATCTTCAAAAGCTGGTTGTATCTTGTATCTCGTTTTTTAGCAAAAATCATCTTACCAGAATAAAACATTAAAAGCAATAAAATTATGTTTGTGTTTCCGCATCCGCACCCATATACTCTTGCCTCAGTGTAAGGATGTGTAAAGGATGTGCTTAACATAGGCATGCTTTCGTGCAAAAATATATTTAAATCTAACTCAAACCCTTTATTTTGGGTGTTATACGTAGAAGAAATATGGAATGCCTATGTATCTTTTGAAGGCTTTGCAATTTTGGGTTGCCTCATGACATTACATCCTTATGAGGTTTAGCTTATGTGGTGCGATAAATGGCTTTTTATTGAAATTGATATTGAACCAAATATTAAAATGATGTTTTGGGTAAACGAGTTTTAGTGGTTTGAAGTGTTTTTGCGATTTGTGTTTATCTGTGCTGTTCACATCTTTATTTGGTATCCTTTTTGTATATAGAAGAGCAATGATATGTATAAAATTTGGATTTTAGTATTGATTAGATTCTAAATTTATTGATGTCGTGAACATAAAACATTTCTTCTGAATTTGACTGTATATAAGCTTTTTTTAGATTTTTATTTTTAAATATTTGATGCAACGTGCCACAGTAAACAGTGGGAATGCCATTTATTTATTACCAAAGGATTAGATAAGCACTTATGAAAGTGAAAATAACTTATATAAAATATTTGATTTATCAGTTTTACACAAATGTTTTTTTAAAAATATAAAAAATAAATAAACAACATAAATTTAAAAACTGAATTGATTTGCATTTTTTACTACAAATAAAAATTATTGCTTACAAATTTTAATGTGTTTATAATTTATATATATTTTATATAATTTGTATTTAATTTAAAATATATTATTAAATAATTATTAAGAAGTAGCTTTTAATAGACATCTTCATATAATTGATAATTAAAATAAAATAATACGATGTTCAGACAGCCAAATTTCTTTAATATCGTGTAAATAAAATTAAGTTAATTTCGAAAGTGTTCATACTGCCCCAAATTAAGGAAATCATATGTTTTTTGTTTACAAATCCCATTTGTATCTGGGATATATAACTATAAAGGATGGCATTCAGTAGTTTAGTTAGCTTTAGTGGATTAAAGGTATGTGAATTATTATTTTTCACTCTATTTTAAATTAATAAAATTTACAGTTCTTCTCTATGTTCAAATTTAAATATTTGCATTATTTTCAAAATATTTTCCCAATTTTATTAAAGCTAACTGTCACTGACATTTATGTAAAAATGTCAGTTTTACGTTATCTCAACTTTATCTTTTCCTTTACATTTATCTTACTCATAGTGGCATTTGAAATGTCGCTTAATTTCAGCCTTTGTTTAAATGAAATTAAGGCCATTTTCCTTAATTTCGTTCTAACTTTAAAACTGCATTTTGTATAGAAAAGACAACTTAATTTTGCTAAAATGAAGATGAAATTAAGATTTTTGCGATATTAAGGTGTGTCTAAACATAGTATAACACAAAGACTCATTTAAAAACTTAACTACTTTTAACTAGAAAAAAAAAATGATTGTAGCGGTATTAGAATATCTTCAAAAAATTTGATATATATTTAATTAAATCTACTTACACCTAAGAATTTATTAAGTAGTAATTTATTTATCTTACAATTATCAAATGATTCAATAAGTATTAATAATTTTTATATCAATAAGTCCAATAAAGTACATATTTTTAATTTGTTTAAACATCTGTTAGATGCTATATGTATAGTATATATTAAATATATTATTTATAAACTAAAAATGGTTTTGTAACCATATGTTTTACTATAATTGTGTTTGCATCTACTGAATCACATAAATTTTACTCTATTTATAATATATAATTACTTGGTTGGTTGGTTGGATGCACTGGTAGATAACTTTCCGCTAACCTCAATGGGCGATTTCGCTATTTTGTACCCATATTTCTTATGAAAAATCTTAAGACATAAAAAGACAAAAACTAATACCAATCTGCCGAATTTATACAATTTAATAGATCTTTCGTCCTTACCGGTGAACAGTCTGGGAAATTGTCAAAAAAGTAATTCCTAAAAAGTTTTTTCTACTGTTGGCTAGAGTCGGTTTTCCCTGTAGGTTTCTGCAACACCTGCAATGAGTATTAAAAGCAGTGATCATAGAGAACTGCCGTAAGCTTTGCAGTATTTAAGCAGCTCCTTTGAATGAGTTCCCAAGATCTGATCTTGTTATGTGATGGCCATACTAACCGGGAATACATATACAGCATAATACATTTAGTTTTAGTTGTATATTTAAATAAAATACATAGCCTTTTCGTATGTACTAAAACAGCTGTCGTCATTTTATTAATTCCTTTAAAATGTACAAAACGTATTAAAGCTCAACGAGGGCTAACATAATTATGTTATATAAATTAATGTTATTAACATTGTGTGTATGTTCTTTACATTTCCAGTTTTAAATTTCACATTCACATTTAAAAGGCATGCAGTATAGAATACACTCTACTATATAAGCTTATTTATTCAGAAAAAGCAAGTTAAACTAAATTGCAAGACATTTATTTAAAACTGATATATATTTTTAAGACTTTATTGAAAGCTTTTATATATGTTATTCATATCTCTTCATTCCGGCCTGTTCATTAAATAACACGGCCATTCAAATTAATTGTTTTATGTCAACAAGATTTTTTCCTCTAAAGCGAGCAGATTGTCACAGAGAATGTTCTGCATTACGTATTAATAATTTATTTGTTTATATCCTAAGCATGGCCTCTCTGCGTTGGGACTGTAAGCATTCAGAAACATTTTAAAACATTTTAATGTATAAATGTTGCATTTTCACAGAGGCGCCAATAATTGTACTTCGTGGAGACTATTAAGATAAGGTGGCGACAAAAACACAACATGCAAAGGCACAACGAACAGAGCCGGCCACGACGAAGGGGTACGTACGTACACTCTGCGTAGAGAGAAATATTTCATATTTGGTTAAAAGCTGAGTTTTTCGTATCTATTAAATAGCAAATTGTTATTTGACAACATTAAAGTATACATTATATATGTGCCGTGGCAAGAACTGAAGAAACACGTTTAGCTTTTTGACTGTTTGACTGTTTGAATGTTTGACTTTTTGCTAAAACTAAAAACACTGCAAAGGTCAAAATAACTGGCAAAACTTGCCGTTGATCCTTTGCCAAGTCATAAGTGCATTGACATTCAAACTAAAAACTCTTTAAGCACTTTGTAAATTATTGGTTGATTATTGTCTTCTGTATCTGGCCTTTTCTTCTCGTTTTGGTACAATATTTTACTTAACTCATTTCTTATCGGGTTTAATAAAATGTTAAAACAGCAACAGCAACAGCAACAGCAACGACAACAACAACAATAGCTACAACAACAACAATGTATACAGCAGCACTCATATTATGTGAGGAATTTTAAAAGGATCGTCTGCTACACGCCTGCGCAACTTGACATGCTGCACTTGCGGTGTTTTGTCGTTTTCATCGTCATCGCTATCGTCATCGTCATCGTCTTCGGTAGTCTGGGCCCTGTAGTCAAATTGTGTATAGACTCTTTATTTACACACACAATTAGTTAACTAAAAAAAGTGTCTCCTTAAACACAAACTCACAAATTGATGACTCAACTTTCCTAATGAATTAGTGTCGCGTGCGTTTTAGCTAAAAACTATGATAACAATTTAAATCCGAGATAATAGACCAGCAATTAGGATTGTAGAAACTCAAGGGTAAATTTAAGTGTCTAATTGATTTCACAGCAGGTAAAAACCTTAGATTCAAAAGACTCAATTCATAACAATTTCTCTCTAAAAATTATGTGTAGGTACCGTAGTTAATGTGTTGGGAACAAGTGCTCCGGAAGTAAATATCGGAAATTGCTTGTTATCTTTAGAAAATTTATTATTTCATAATTTGTTTGGAAAATGAGACCCTTAATTATATCATTATTAATTTTTCCAAACACATTAATGAATTATGTATGTGTGTGGCTTCATTTATAAAATTATTATATTACATATGTAATTACATTACATTTATGTTTGTTTATAACGTATGTTTGTTTTTTTATGTATATTTAACAGCTGCATTTCCCATAGCCCGTCGTATTGGTCATCCTTATCAAAATCGTACACCACCGAAACGAAAAAAGCCTAGGACCTCATTTACCCGCATACAAGTTGCTGAGTTGGAGAAACGTTTTCATAAGCAAAAATATTTAGCATCAGCAGAACGTGCCGCACTTGCGAGAGGTTTAAAAATGACCGATGCACAAGTGAAGACGTGGTTTCAAAATCGTCGAACGAAGTGGAGGTGAGTTATTAATATAGAAATATAAAAGAAAAGAATTGTGGTATAAACCATCTCTAGTTATGAGCTCAGTAACTAGACTATAGTTAGTCATTTATATTTAAAAAATGGATTAACATAGTACCAATGTAAGTCATAAAAAAAACATTTACTCTATAGTAACGAGATCTTGAATACCACTCATATAAAAATATAAAATTAATAGGTAAGCAATTATTTATTTACTTAAATGATTTTAACAATATGTTTTCGGGTTTGGAACTGGAGCAGCACACCACTCCAGGCGTTTCTCTGCATGCGCTCTTTCTTTAGTCTCATATACTCGTATCAAGTGTGTTTAGTGCTCCTCTAACTTGATCACTTTACCGGAGACACGGTCACCCTTATCGTAGCTTATCAATGGTTTATTTAATTAGAAATTGATAATTCTAATTAAATATCTATTGTTACTTGAAAAAGCTAAAAGAGATTATAATGTTTTCTGTGGTTGCACAATGTATGCTTAGGTAGTTGACATAAGTGTAGCCAGGAAGTTCCTTTCTGATAAATTTGGCGCTGATCTATAATATTTAGTTGGGTCATTACCACAAAGGCACTCTTATCATTTTTAAACATTTTTTGAGTTTACTTTTCTGGTTTTAATATCCTGTTGTTTTTAGAACACTTAATTTCGGTGTTTTTATAATACAAAATATATTAAAGTACTTTTCAGATACGGAAAAGTACTTTCTACAATTTACCCAGTAAAAAACGGTACAGCCGTCATCGGAAATGTCTTGAAGTCATGTTTTTACTGGTAACGGATGTAAATATATGACAATCATTTTGAAAATTTTAAACAATTCATCCAACAAAGGGATGAATGATGGATTGTAACATTGTCTTGCAAGACAGCATTTTTTATTAGGCAATAAACGTTAAACGTATATATATATAGTAACACATTTCCAAATGGTTATTAAAATTTTTCTTAAGAACTCTGAAACTGAATAACTCTTAACTGTCAGATTCATATACAATATTATAATAATTTATACATGCATTATTTGATAATATGGAGTACTCATAATGGGTATCTAAATTTGTAAGTAAAGTAAATACTGTTTTACTCTATGGATTGAAACATATATTATACTTTTAATGTAACTATTGGTTTGAACTTTGATTGTTAAATAGTATTTTTTACAGAAAAATTTGAGAACTTGAAAATGTTTTGGAAAATCGAGTTTTATTTAAATTTCTACTACAATAGTCTTATTTAAAGAATACTAGTAGCTATATGTGATAGAAAACAAATATGTGATAATATTGAAAGTCTTTTAAGTTTCCAAAATTTCTGATAGATTGGTAGCTTATAATATAATCTGTATATATAATAAAAATCATATTTATTGCTTTAACAAAGTATAACAAAGTATATATATATTGCGATGATATAGAACACATATTATAAAGTACATATTATATTTTCCTTATTATAGTTAAATTAGTGTGCACATATTCTAAACAACTTAAAGCAGTTTCCTTTCTTCTTAAATTATATCCGATAGAATTAAATTTTTATACCTCATAATATCCTCTTTAGAATCAAAAAAGTAAATTTTTGCATTAAAAGTTCATCAAAAATTCACGAGGACATTAAATAAAGCTACGACAAATTTTAAAATAGATAAATATCCTTGTTGTTGTTGTTTCTCTACTGTTAGCATAGTTGCTGTCACGTTACCCGTAGTTAGTTTTAGAAGCATCAAACTGCTCGTTATTGTTAATACAGAATAAAAAGTTAGAAAATGTATTTTTTATTTCCTCCCCATTTATGGCTGGTTTTAAAGTGCTTTCCATATCAAATTGTTTTCAACCCTCAATATTCACAGGTTAGAATAGAAAATGGAATTTTTTTCCTTGCAGCTAACATCGAAGTCCCCTTTTTTCAGTAAGCCAAAAAAGTAGTAGCCAAACGCTGCTTATTTTCGTGAATATTATAAATTCGTCATAACAAGAATTTTGTGTCCTTTATACAACAAAAATGGCTACCAAACTAGAAAATGTCGCTTTGCTAGTGTTAATACCAACGAGTTTATATTTACGAGTAAACATGGCTAATAATGGTGCGCTTAATAGAGCTACACATTTGCATATTAACTGAATCCTTTATTAACATGAACATAAAGAATTTTTAATGACTTCTGGTCACTCTATTCGTACGAGTATATTTACTCGTCGGGAGCTGACTGCTGGTTAGAAATGTGGCTCATTAATTTGCATTGTTATTCATTAGAAGCTATTATTTTGTGCACATTTATATACAATAGATCAAATAGTTGATAAAAAAACTATTTCATTTTATTTACTGACAACACAGATTATTTTTCATGGAAATACAACAAAACACTGTGGAGGAATTAAGCTTTTACTTTGCGTTTCAATTTACATTTTTATTATATTTGTTCGTATGCATAAACGATTCTGACATGCAAATAGTTGGAGCTAATAATTGATTAGTTGAAAAGAAAAGTACAATCTAATAGTTAGAATGAAAAAGGAATTAATTTTATATATATTAATAATTTCATGATTCACTGATTCGTAAAATTGCTTGCGTGTATATCGCATATTAAATTTATTTTACTTTATAATTATACAACAATTAAAGTAAAATAATGAAGTAACGAGTAACTAATAGCAACATAAAATGTTTTTTATATCCCAATTTATAATTACTATTGTAATTATATTAGTTCTTGATGTACAATGTAATAAAATATTAAATATGCATAATTATTTCATTCTTCGTATTCATACTCATATTTTTACTCGTTACTTTATTTGATTCGTTAAACTCACCTACCGAGTTTTGCTCGTTATCAGCCATTTTAGTCGCTTTTGGTCATAAAAATTAATGATGCAAAACATTTTATTAACATTGGGCAGACGCAATAAATATTTTCCTACTTAAAGCTCATAATTAACTAAAATTTATGGTGCCAAGTTGTTGGGTAGTTTTTTTTAAGTGTAATTTATATAATCATATACATAGATTGTTTCATATCTTGTTAATATATAATGTAGATTATAATTACATAAAAAAGTAATTTTTCTACTTATGCGTACTAACTATTTATTTACATTTTGTTATGAAATACCTAGTAAGAAGTCCACAATATATTTACAATTAATAAACTTCAGTTCATGCTAGAGGGTGTCTAGGGAACACTAAGTTAGTTTGGATTGTTATAGGAATAATTTATTCTAAAGTATAGTTTCGGTAAGGTTTAAAATTTATTTATTTAACATTTTATTAAAGTTAAGCTATTTTAGATATTAGCTATTAGCTATTAGAGCTATTAGAGAAACAATACTATTTTGAATAAGTATTACAGTATATCATCCAACAACTGAGTCCCGTCATTATAAATTATTTTGGCAATATATTATAATCCTTAAAAAACTTTTTCTTTATATTTTTGGCGGTATTGTCCCTAAAAAGAAATACTTATTTTCATTCATATGTTGCACGAGAACGTAGTAGGATAGTGACAGTTCTTCCTCGAAATAATAAACATAGTTTCTGAAGTAGTGAAGATTACTCAGGAAGCAAATTTTAGTGTTTTTATTATTTTCGAGCTATACGTGTAACTTCGGTTGGCTATATATAAAATTTCTTTGCTAGATGTGCCTAGAATTTACAAGTTTTACCTTTGTAAAAAATTTAACTAAAACAGTGCCTACCTCCGATGAGCAACGCGTTAGAATATTCTCGAGGTAACACATTTCTACCGTAAGAAGCGACTAAAATCCAGTGAGCACAAGTCGATACTGTATGCAGTATAAAAGGTAGTGAGTTAGTTTTATTTGCGGCACCCGACCAAAGGTGTTAATCACTGGTATAGGGCCCACAGCATCGGCTGTGATTGAATAATTGAGGTTGATTCCTTAAATGAGAGTATCGGAGTGGCTGTGGGTAAATGACTGTTTTCATTTTATGCGGGTATCCACATCGAATGAAAGCAAAGCATCTTTGAGTAATATGCACAAAAGAATAGCAAAGGTGTTTGATGTGTCTCGCTTTCTCCAAGTTCCCTGTTACGTATATAAAGAACACCGTAGTCTAATACTCTTTAAGATACTATTGCTGTATTTAGGTGAATTCTAATAGAATTTTAAATATTGGGAATCAGTTATGTTATGTTTATACTTGTCGAACATTACAGAGAACAATATAATACAATTAATTTAACATTCACATAACAATATTTTCCCACAATACACCTAAAATTGTCATTATTTATGTTTTAAAAACATGAGCCTTCATTATATAGGTTCAATAAATTTTATAATAAGAATTAAAGCCATATTTTGTTATGCCAAATAATTGTTATAGCCAATTAAAAACTCATTTATTTACATATAAATAATTAGAACATCATTTTACACACTATTTGATTTGCAAAAAGTCATTAACTTATCTTTATTACTTCATTAAAAAGTCAATAAATTTGAACGAGTATTTTTATTCAAATTACCTTAAAAATAAGTCTTATTTATATATATATATACATAAATATTTTAAATGATATAATAAACGAACATTTGTCAATAAATTCGTAAATGACAAAATTCCATTAGCGATTCATAATGTGTTTTTAATAAATTTAATAATTCAAGAATAAACGTTATTAATGAAACAACAAAAAAATTTACTCAAAAAAAAAAACAACATTAATTATTTAAAAAATAATTGAATTTGTATTTATTGTGTTGATTGAGATGGTTTAATCGATTATAATTGCATTTAAAAATAAACAATAATGTTACTTAATTTGAAATTGATTAATGATGTACAAGTATCTGAATTTTTCAATTGAAAAATGAATTTTATGAAACATACTAGAACCAGAAAAAATCATTTAAATAACAAAAGCCAAAGAGCAGGTTTTTTCTACTGCTAACAAATTTGACATGTTAACTGTCAATTGGACAATCAACTTAATCAAATTGTTTTGTTAAAAGGAACACAGAAACACGCTAAACCACACAAAAATTAAACCTAATAAAAATACAGACAGACAGACAGATATACTAAGAATCAGTACATGAGCCCCTTCTTACCGCTAATGTAAAACTTCTACTTCTACGTTTATTTAACCCTGGTACGTTGCAGCCTTCTTCGCAGCTTCACACAGCGTAAACGAGAGCAGCTTGTTTAGAGAAATCGCTGCTATTAACAGAATGACGCTTAAACATATTAACATGAAATACAATATAAGTCAAAATACTAAAAGTCAGGCACATGTTCTGGGCTCGAGAACATTTTCGGAAGTGTACGGATGAGCCATCTAAGATGAGCGGTGAAGCAACCCCTAGTAGAACTACAAGGCTGGCAAGGCAGCCAGTTGCTTGTTTCAAATGACAACGTCTCGTGCAACTTTGGTACATGACGTTTTGTTCCGTGTATGTTATTCCGTTTATTATTCAATAACAATGTTAAAGGAAAAAAACCTAATTAAATTAAGTGCAGCACGTGAGTTGTTTCTTAATAAACACAGGTCGAGCATTTAAATACTCCTTATTGAACATGAATCATTGAATTGAGTAGACTGTGTTTGGTTCAATGGCAATTTTGAAGACTAAAAACTATTTATTATATCATTTAAATCATAAGGAAACACACTACTAACATAATAATACTATTTACTTAGAAAATCTGTGGTAAGCAGATAGCTCAACTCAACTGAGATATACTAAATATTCCGCCCGAAAATTTCATATGATCCATATATGTTTATAGTTACGAAAATTGTAAATATTTCTAGGCATAAAACAAAATTAGATTTTAATTGTTTATAATAAATCTCAAAAGAACTATTGAGTAAATCAACGTTAATCACTGAATCATATCTCAACGACTTCACATCACTCTAATGATCTTTATTAATTGATCTTCAATGTACTTGCCCAGTGTAGATTCCTTGCACTATGTCTTTATAAGTAATAATATATTTATTAATTGAACAAATTATATATAAAAATTTA